TTTGGCCTCATATAAAGGCATATGGACAAATATTTTGTGAAAAGTGCATAGCATGTAGAAAAGTCAAATCTAAGGTATAGCCTCATGGACTCTATACCCTTTAACATTCCTAACTCACCGTAGACTATATCTCCATGGATTTTATCCTGTGATTACCATGGGATGGATTCTATCTTTGTGGTAGTGGATCGATTTCCAAAATGACACATTTTATTCCTTCCCACAATGTAAATGATGCATATAATATTGCCAATCTCATCTTCAAGATCCAAAATGTCACATTTTATTCTTTGTCACAAAGTAGATGATGCATGTAATATTGCCAATCCCTTTGTCAAGGAAGTTGTTTAGTTACAAAGGCTTCCTAGGAATATTGTATCTGATAGAGATTCAATGTTTGTAAGTCACTTTTGGAGAACTCTTTGGATAAAACTTGGTACAAAACTTTTATTCCGACAACTTATCACTCTCAAATTGATGGTGAAACAAAAGTAGTCAATATATTTTCTTATAAGTATATTTAATGGTTTGATTTAATATTTATAAGAAAAAGTTTAAATAAAAGGCTAAAATTTGTAAATATACAAATAGATTTATTTAATGATCATTAAGTGTTGGAGGAGTCTAAATTATTAATGTAAATGTAAGTTATAAAAATATGGGGGGTCATGGTCCACCTCACCCCCAAGAAGCTCCACCATTGATTGGAACTCAAGGCCACAAAGTGAAATGTGAAGTGCATGACTCCTATATTTGTGCTGCACAAAGTTAGATTTCAAATTTCCCTCCAAAATTCATGACTCAAGCTATAAATAGGAGTCATCTCTTGTTGTAATTCCCTTTGGAATTCATAATGAAATTGTGAGAAAGTTTTGTATCTTTGAGAGTTAGAGAATTCTCTCTTGGAGTCTTATTTCTGGGGAATCAAGTGATATCTCTCCTCATCATTCATCTTGGTGTAATACCCAATAAGTGTAGCTCTTTCATCTCCTTAAGTCCTTTACTCTAATCGTCTCTTTCATTTCCTTTATTCAATTCACACATCTTTTTCTTCCTCATAATGAAAACCGAAAACATTAACAATTATTGAATGCAAACCTTCACAATTATATAATCCTCCTTGGATTAAATTCATGTCCCGTGCCAAGCATCCTTGAATTCATTTAAACTTTATCCATATTATTCATCCATGTGTCATTGAACTTCTTCCTCCAACTCTTTCGTTTTGAGGTCTCATCACATAAATTTGACGCACTCTTTTAATTAAAAAACATATCTCCGGTCTGATGATAGTTACATATTAAAGAGCGCCAATAATAAACCTATAAAAGGATAGGTCGGGGAGTAAATTAGCTCCCTGATTTGAGAGTTTAGACCATAAACCATAGGATAAGATATAGTCATTGCTTCAAGCATATCTTGATGAGAAGATTCTTTTATATATTTTATTGTGTCATAACAAGATTACCATTGGACGGTGGAGGAATTTCAATGCTAAGAAAATACTCCAAGACCCCTAGTTGTTTGAGATAAAAGATAGGGTTGAGTTTATGAATAAGATGTTGAACAAGGGAGGTAGAGTTTTTTGTTATGGTAATGTCATCAAGATAAAAAAGTAAGTAAACAGTACAATTTTGTTGAGAATATATAAATAAGGATGGATCGTATTTACTATCCCTAATACCAAACTACAGTGAGGTAGTTTTAAGTCTCTCAAACCAAGCTCGACGAGCTTGCTTGAGACTATAAGTAGCTTTAAGAAGTCGACAAACAAGAGAAATATATTTATCTTCAAAACCTGCGGTTGAGTCATGTAAACCTCTTTATCAAGAAACCCATTAAAACATTATTAACATTTAGTTGAAACAAAGACAAATTTGTAAGTAACAAGAGTTAGAATAATGCAAATTACAAGAAGAGAAAAAAATCTCATTAAAGTCAAAACCATATTGTTGATTGAAACCTTTAGCCACTAATCTAACTTTGTATTTATGAATAGTCCCATTGGGATTTTCTTAACACGAAACACCCATTAGGAGAAAGAGGAACTAAAGACCTAGTTGTTATAATCAATATGAATGTTAAGAGGAGCACTAGGAAATTATTTATAAGATAAACTATAGTAGTAAAGGCATGGTCCCAATAGGATAAAGGAAGAGATGCATGACTAAGTAAAGTAAGACCCATGTCAACAATATGGCGATGCTTGCGTTCAACAACACCATTTTGTTGATGGGTATGAGAGCTAATGATTCTATGTGTTATATACTTAAAGATTTGAGATATGTAGTACAAAGGCAAAATTCTACCCCCCAATTAGTTTGAACAACTTTAATAGATTTGTTAAGTTGTAATTCAACTATAGATTTAAATTGGTGATAAGCATGAAGAGCTTCAAATTTTTGTTTAAGCAGATAGATCCAAGTGAATTGTGAGTAAGCATCTAAAAATAAAAAAGGTCATAGGAGAAGCCTTTAGAAGAAGGATTTGGGGAAGATCCTCACCATATACTAACTTAAAAGAAGATTTATAAATAGTTGAGGAAGCTTAAGGAGAAAGTTTATGTGCTTTTCTCATACAACGAGTAGGTCATAAAGGCAAAGAACTTTTATTAGATGACATACACTCATAAGTCTCTATAGATAAAGAGTTAAGGTCAAATGTAGTTTATAAACTCTCTTCTTTTATCTATTAAGACATTTTTTAAAGACAAAACCGTGACAACCTATATTTCTAAAGTGGATAATATCTCGAAAATGGTGATTTATCCTAACAATGCTATTATAACAGTTTGTTACATGAAAGGAAGCACATGAATCTAGAAACCAGGTTTGAGATGGAGAAGATGCAGTATTTGTAACCATATCTTGTGGTTAAAGGGGACTAGTATATTGATAAGGATTGTGAGACTGTTAAGGCGAATGTGATGTTGAAAAATAACTAGGACCTGCAGCAGATGGGTTTTCCCAAGGCGTAATATATAAACGAGACATAGAAGATGGTTGAAATTGAAAATTAAACTTGTGGTAACAAAACATAGCAGGATGATCATATTTGAAGCAAACATGACATTGCATAGAACTACGACCACCATAGCCCCTTCTACTACGACCAAAGTAGGCTCCACAACCACCTTTAGCACCACAAAAACCAGTGTACTGGAATCGTGTATTTTGTTAGTATTGTTATGTTAAAACTACTGTTCAAGAATGTTTGCAGATTATTAACCAAAAGCATGTGTAGAGCTTGAGGAAGATTAACAGAAATAACATTTATTTATTATTATTATTTTTTTTTTTACTTTTGCATACGGAGTTGTTGTGCAAGAATTAAACCTTCAACTTTTTCAATAGTCATATTTTTAGTTTTGCGCTCAATAAGAGCAATAACAAAATCATATTCATGTGGAAGACCTTCAAGAATTGAATCCAAATGTTCTTTTACAGAAATTAGATCTTCAACTGAACAAAGAGAGTCAATAAAAAACTTAAAAAAATTCAGTAACTGTGCGATTATCCAAAGATGAGTTTCTTAACTCAGAACACACTTGTTGTGCCTCTGTCCTGATTTGATGAAGAAATTATGCATGTATCTTGTCCCAGACTTCATATGATTGAATACATCCAAGCACACGTGACAACAAGATAGCTCTAGAAAGAGAAGACTGGAGCCATGCAAGAAGCCCTTGATCTTGCTGTTCCCAAGAAAAATATTCTGGATTGAAATCTTGTTCTATAAGAAACCTGAACAGTATTTCAGAAAAACCATAAAGTGTAGCAAAGTACGGACCTTAGTTACAGGTTCAACTTGTTGGTGCTACAAAAAAAAACATTATTATCAACTTTCTCTTTAATTTGATGGGAGAAAGTGAAATGTGCTGGTATAGAAAAAGAAGGACAAGAATCTATTCAAAGAGGAGAGGTTGGAAGAGAGGAGGACAGGATGAAAGTTGTAGAATCAGAAAGATTTGGCAAAAGCCAAGAAAGAGGATCAACTGGATACCATATTAAATTTGTCAAGAATCATGACTAAAGAAAGTTACAAAGAATGAATAACCTCTTACAGAACCCATAAACCTATATGAGCAGAGGAGTATTGCAATAGGCGTAAGAACAATTGTAACAAACTACAACTGTCAAAGAATTTTAATAACAAACAATGAGCAGAGGAGTATTGCAATAGGTGTCAGAACAATTGTAACAAACTACAACGGTCAAACAATTATAATGACAAATAGTTGTTTAGAGAAAGTAAAAATAGAACATTACAAATGTATATCTCTAACATGCACAAATGTTCTACAGGATATTATGTCTTTTTATTGGAGGAAATATTATTTAATGGAAAAGCAAGAAACTCTCACTTGTGAGTTTGTATGGGTAAAATAGTTCCTCCAAGAATTAGATTTTGTGAGATTAAGCAAATCAAGATGTCCTGTGATAACCAAGTTGTTCTTTACATTGCTTCCAATCCAATATTTCATGAGAGGATTAAATACATTGAAATTGACTATCATTTTGTTTGGAAAAAGTTATCCAAAGAAAGTTATACTAAGATTGTCAGATCCAATTATCAACTTGCATATACATTAACAAAATCTTTGCCAGGACCTCAGATTGAATTTATTTGTTCCAAACTGGAATATACAACTTGTATTTACCAAGCTTGGTACATACAAGTTGTATATTCAGTTTGAGGGGAGGGTTAGAATAAGTCAAATAAACTTTATTGAAAAGTTGTTTAGTGTTGTACTTAGGAACTAGATATGTCTTTTCTTATTCCCTTCTTCTCTCTCATTTATTGTATCTGAACTACCCTTCCTATTTTAAATATGAGAACCTCAGAGAGGCAACTAAGTCTCAAATATATTTCTTTTCCATTTTATTTATATCAAGTGAGTCGAACACATGCATCACTTTTATTGCTGATATATTTGATGTGTAATATGATAATGTTTATTGCTTCCTTTTGTTATGCTTAACTATTGCTAGGGACAAAGAATGGGTAGCATTGCTGTATTTGTTTTGTATTGTGTTTTTTGTTCTGGTTCATGTCTTGTTACTTCATTTCTATGCTTTCTCTCGTTTCTCATAAAATTAGTTTTTTGTTAACCATGTGTTTACTTAGTTGTTGTCCTCTTCTCCGTGTGATTGTCCTTTACATATTTATCCAACTACCAAAATCATAGTAAAGTTCCTGTTTTATGTAGAGTTCATGGACTAAATGTCGAGCTCAAGTTGGCAGCCCTCATCCAGTTTCACCTCAGAAGCAATTGATTGATGCCCCTGATAGCACTTGTGCCCAAGTGATGCAAACAAAGACTCAAAAAGCTAATAGTAGACGGGTGCATGCAACAGAAAAAGAGTGCCTTGAACTTATTGATCATCTTGGTATGCCTTGATAAAATGTAATTTTAGACTTGTCTATATTGATTTGGATATATCCTCAAATAGCTATTTTCTGTCCAGATGATGTTGCAATGGGTAAGGACTTGGCTGTGGGAATATCTTTGAATATGCAACTTGAGCATCCACTTGAGAGACTGTCTGGCCATCCAACGGGTAAAGGGGCAAATAAGATGTCTGATGTTGATAATATGCAGATAGTTAAAGGACAGAATAATGTATGTGAAAAAGTACAACTAGAATACAATGTTGATAAAACCAGGACACAGGAAAATCAGCCTATGAATGTTATTGATGTTACTGATAGCAATAGTCCACAGACTGAAAGCAGATACTTGAACACTCCAAATGGGTTTTCCGGTTTCTCACTAACAAAAGAAAACTGTTGCGCCAAAGAGCATCCATCCCTGGAACTAACTTTGAAAAGGCTGGGAGAAGTAAGAGATGCTAAAAATGTCACAGGTGAAGAATGCAATGTATTGAGACATTCAGATCAGTCGGCATTCTCAAAGTAAGGAAATTTACCGGCATAACTACGATTTAGTGGAAGCAAATATTGTTTGCATTACGTAACATTTTATCTTCATTGTGCAGATATAATACTGCTTCTTCTGCTAACCAGGTGATGTTCTTCGGTCCTTTGACAACTTTATATATTGTGTTGAAATTCAGATTTTTGTGTTGCATAATTTCCATTTACATCACAAATCCCACTCACCTCATCAACTTTTCTGGCGTCTGTTCCCCACACCATGAATCATATCTGAATGAATATTCAACCAACATGTAAAGAGATTAACTGAGTCATCTCAAAATTTATGATACACAATACGAAGAAATGATATGAAAATGATGTATGTCTTGGTTTATTTCTGTGGAATTGGCAAGCAAATTCTGGGTACCATTAACTGGCGTATAGTGTTCATCACCAAATATTACGTCTTGTTTGGTATAATGGAAAAGAAAGACATGAGAAGAATGAGTTGGTTTGGTTTAGGAGAAAGGTGAGAGGAAGGATGAAAAAAAAAAAACATGTGGGTCTCATACACTGTTTTCCTCGTGAGAATGGGGAGAAAGGAGAGGAAATGACGGTGAAGTGGCACTTTTGCCTTTACTTCCTTCCACCCGAGACTTTTTTTAGGAGCAACTGCCTATTTTTTTATTTTTATTTTTTTCTAAGAGCTGCTTCAGCTTGCACCCATCCCAAGCAGTCCAGGTGGACCTTGCTATAACCATTAAGAAGATTTATAGATTAAATCAATTGAAATGGAAAAGAAAATAAACAAAAAAGTATCCAGGAGGTAAATAGGTAAATTCTTAAAAATTTATTTTCTTTTCTGTATTTTTCTTCAAATCAAACATGTTTATCTATAAAATTTATCTTCATTTCCACTTCCTTTCCATTCTATTTCTTTTTTTATTTTCATTCATTTCTCTCCACACTTTCTCTTCCCTAAACCAAACAAAGGCTTAATCTTTGGACAAGCCTTATGTTTTCTTTACCTTTATCAGGCTCAAACTGGAAATGTAGGGAGCTGTTCCCCTCTAGCCAATGGCTCAGCTGCACCAAATGCGGAGATAGTACACAACTTTCCATCTCATTCCAACGTCACTCCTCCAAACCAACAATCTAATGGGAGCAACAACATCAATGACATGGCCTCCACTAATACATATCTTGGCACCAAACCTGATACTTTTGACAAAAAGCCAGAGTCTGTAAGAGGGATGGGCTCATTTAATTCTTCTGAACTCCAAACTTTGCAGAACAATAGTATCTCTTCGTCTCAGAAGAAAACTTATGCCCGGGAAGAATATATGGAAATTGTTAAAGGACAAGTGGGAGGCTCTGAATATGAATTCCAAGTCGAGCACACACATTATGAGCTTCACCGTTATAATCACATTTCCCATAAAGCTGCAGTAGATATTCAATCAGATCATGATCTCTTTCTCAAAAGCTCAACCAACGCTGCTCAGCAATGTGTATCATCAAATGCATTTGGAGGGCCAGCAGAAAGTAATGCTGCAAACTACACAGTAGATGGAAATGCTGTGGAGAGCGATCATGGGAGCAATGGACAGGATGGAACCATGACAATGAGAACGATAAATATGGAAAATGGCAATGTGGCTGTGGGGAGCATTGGAGTTGGCAGCATTGATAGGAAAAACATTGGGAATGGAACAGATGATGGACGACTTGCATTGAGAGAGGCTGCCTTGACCAAATTCCGTCAAAAGAGAAAAGAAAGATGCTTTGAGAAAAGGGTAAATCTATTTTAAATTATGTTGTTATAAATTAGAATATGTCCGCTGAATATCTTTATTGGATGTGGATTTTGTCAATTTGAGTATTGAGATGTGATTATACCCTGTTCATTATATTCCCATAGTTTTTATAAATGGATGGTTAATGATGTACTCTGCATCCTTTATATTTTACATTTCTGCAATTTTATCAAATTATTGTCCCTTTATTTAAAATTAAGATATTTACTGACCAAGTTAACCTAGCTGGGTGGTTTTAAATAATTAAGTCAACCTACTAGTAGGATAAGGCTTTATTGTACTTCCCGAGTTACTTGCCTTCATGTTTCAATGATTTTTTCTTCATCATTAATAAGGCACGAGATGCTCTATATTGTCATCATGAGTTTGACTTGTTCTCATATTCTGGAATTTCCTTTCCTTTTTCAGGTTCGATACCATAGCAGAAAAAAACTAGCGGAACAACGGCCTCGTATTAGAGGACAATTTGTTAGACGAATAGTGTATGTTGTTGCATTACTTGGATTCACTTTATATATATGTATTGCATTATATAAGGAACCGGGTTAACTTGTGTCCAATTTTTTCTCAGCCCTGAAGCCAAAGAAGAAAAAGATCACCAAAGTGACAACCTGGTACGTATTGATAATAGCGACTTTCACCAATAACACCAACCAAAAATGCTGGTCATTATTTAACTGATTCCATTCCAGTAGCGGCCTCTAGCTTCTTGATATCAGATTAGTCCTTCACACATTCACCAAGGAAGGAGCTTGGAGGTTTGTGTTAGTGGAATCTGTGATTAGGTAGTTTACTTTTACCTCTGTTTGAAGAACAGATATTTAATTTGAAACGCAGGACAATGTTCCAGATTCCATTCGTGGTTGTGTGAACTTAAAAACTCCAAATGGACCCATGGAAGTGGTTACCTTTGGATAGGTTAACCTCTGATGAAATAAAATTTATCATGTTAGCTTTCACTTTAGGTTTGTCTGCGTAAACAGTTTATCTTATTCCTTTCTGAGAGTTAGAACATACTTACTGAGATCTATATCCTGCTGGAATAGATTTATAAATTGATTGTCCTTGGTGAAAAAAAAAGAGAGGGTAGAATGGAGTTTCTCTGCCCTCGCATTTTCACGTCATTGTTTTACACGCTAGGATTGTGTCAAAACCCATTCCTTGTCATGTCATTATTTTCTCCCTCCCAAAAAGTTAAATCTTATTCACCCCTCCTTAACTTGTGCTGTGACGTCAATCATAAATCAATTATTGTGACCATAGTTCTGTGAGCAAGAATTATTTCAACTCTCTACTTCAACCCATGGCTCCTCCTTTTAGTAAAACCATAAATCAACACAAACATGACAATTGTCTTCAAAATATTTGATATATCAAATACACAGTACTGTTAAAAAATAGTTTTAAGCTTCTAATTATAATTTTCATAAGAATAATTTTTTATATTTATTTTTATTTGGTTAAAGTGTCCTAAAATACTGTTTAATATATAAACTGCGTCGTGTCTGCGTGTCTAAGTATTAGAAATCTTATATTTATTAATGACACGAAACAATGTTTATAGAAAACAATATTATAGGATAATCAGTGATGAAGAGATTAAAAATAATGTGAATTCAGCGTTATTTTTAGAAAGAAAATGCTGTTTTGCACGTATAGATAAAATATATATACTTCTGTCCCAAAACAAACATCAATGAAATCAAGTGTAAGAAAGGGTCTTCCAACTTTATAAACACTAATATACTTTTAAAACAGTATATAAGAATATCTTTGTACGTATTTGTGTGTTTTTTCAGCAGCTGAAGGAAGTGTTCTATAAGAAGATTCTAGATGTACATGCAAATATTAATTCGATCAAAGCGACTTGTACACATAACCAAGGGCCAGCCCAGTCCTTAGATATCGAAAATAAAGTAGGAAGAATTTTTTTTTTTTTCGACATAAACTCTGCGGGCACCAAAAGACAAGGTAAGTTGTATATGCACAATTGAATGAAAACATTAGAGTTAAATATGTTTTTTCACATGCTTTTATTTCTTTATAAATTTAATTTTAGTCCTGTGTGTTAAGAATTAATTAATTAGTCTTCGAATTTTAAAAATTATAAATTTAGTTATTTTATCAACTTTATAACTATACAAAAATAAATGTTATTAAATATTAAATTTAGAAATAAAAAATTATAATTATATTTAACTTTTTTTATCAATTTTATTAAGTTAAAAAATCATCACTAAATTTTAAATTAAAAATAAACATAATTAAAATAATACATTTTCATAAGTTGGAGGATTGATTAATCAATTTTTTAAATATAAGGACGAAAACATTGACAAAATTTATAAGAACAATAAAACATATTTAACCGGAACGTTTAAAAAAAAGCATAACGGCAAAAAGAATGAGTTACTTAATTTTAAAAATTGCCTTAAAAAATTATATTAAATAAATACTTTAAAATTTTAAATTATAATAAAATATATTTAAAGCATTTGTAAACATAATTTAATGAAAAATAATAATATGCTTAAGTACAAGGAACTTTAAGCATTTAAGTCTTAAGTCTCATATATTGTATATGACCTTTCTCTCAAGAAAATATAGAGATTTATTAAAAAAAAAAAAATCTTGTAAAGCATCACTTGTTTTATGGTATCCAACTAGGTTAATACACCATATAAATATTCTTTATTTGCTAAAATACATTCATCAAAATACGAAGATATTGGGAAGACCAAACTAAAACCTATGGAATACTAAATTAATGGACAAATTTATATTCTAGAAGACTAAATCTATTTCAGAAAAAATCATATCTACTTTTATAAGGTATATATAATCATATCATTCAAACCCACTAATTTAAGGTATATATAATCATATCATTCAAACCCACTAATTTATACCTAATTGGTGATGGAATAATACAGGAACAAATTATAACTAATATGTAGCAAAAGGCTAATATTTTTTTAGTTATTCTCTTACTTAACAGAAAAATAATTTAATTAAGAAATTTTTTGTACTAATCCCTTACTATGAATAACAAAATAATTGAAAAATGAAATTTTTAATTTTAATTATGTTACTATTCTAAAGTTATTTCATGGTAAAATTGTGTATTATACATTGGTAAATTGTAACAAATTTACACAAATATCAAACTGAAATGAGTATGAAGTTGTTAGAGAATATTCTCACACTTCTATGGCAAGTTGGTTAGAGATTTCTTTACATATCCCTTACAAATACAAGGCTCTCTACTAAAATATTATTTATTTTTGTAATTTTTCTTGCAAAAACTTATTTATAAAAAATACTCGCAAAATTTTCTAGAAATAATTAATTGTAAAAAATAATTATTAATTTTTATATAAAAAAATATCCATAAGAAATAATTGCATATTTTTCTAAAAACGTTATTTGATTTTTTTTTTGCCAAATTTACTATCAACATTATATATATATATATATATATATATATATATATATATATATATATATTAAAAAATATAAATTTACAAGAAAATTGGTAATAATTTAAAATTATTTTCTATAAATTTTTTTATAAATATAAATTTGTAAGAAGTATTTAATAATATTTAAATAAATGGTAGAAAATTGTATAGATAATATTTTTTATAAATTTTTCTTACAACTTATTCTTTACAAGAAATAAAATGAAATTAATCATATTTAAATATTTGTTTAATTAAATATTATTTTAAATATAAATTTATTCTTCTTCCCTTTTTTTCATAATATCTTTTCATTGTCAATTTCAATTTTTTTTTCATCCCCAAATTGAAAATTTAGAGGGTGAGGGTTGTTTACATTTATCATTGTCATGCCTGCATTGGTTATTGTTGTTGTCGCACCTTCATTGACCGATGTCGTTGTTGCACATATGTTAGCTATTGTCACATTTGTGATACATTGTTTTCGTGATTGAATTTATTGGTCCTCAAATATTTACTATGCTTATTACTTGTGTAGTATTTAACTATTTTTAATTTTTTAGCTACTTGTATTAATTCCCAATTGAATTATATGTTCTTCTTGCCCTGGTCACAAGTTGTTTGTTTGAATTTTGTTTTAATATGATCTAATGTCGTTTCTACGAAATGCAAGTATTGATTTTAAGATCAAAACACTCATAGTAGGTGACAAGAGAAACTAACGATTTAGTATATTGATAATATAGAGTCAAATCTTGTGCTTTCAGTTCTTGAAATTAGATCATTTGTTTAATCCAAACAATATTTGACTTGAACAGATAAATGCCTTACACAGTGTTTTGGTTATTCATTGTCCAAGATGACTAGTTTAAGTGTTGTGTATTGTATTAACTTCAAATAACATCCATATGTCACAACGGGTCAATAAAGGTTCTAGACTCTAACCAAATCTTGCTATAGAAAAACATAAAGAATCATTCTCGGTATGCTTCATTTATTTGTGTACATAACTATAAAAATGTAGGATTATCATATTCACTTACATAAGAAACTTGGTTTCAAGATATGCTTGATGTTTTTGGTTAAATGTTTATACTTCATTGTAATTAAATTCTAACTTTTTTTTTAATCAATTATTGGATAGATTTTACACTTAGAACTAGGGAAATAAAGTCTTTCTAAAGGACATCCCTGTATTATCCTTTTAGTAGTAAAATTATTATTGTCATTGTCTTCAATGTTCATTTTACATTATAAATATTTTCATAAATGTATTTTCTTGGGTCTTAAGGTGGGCTTTTGTAATCATCATGTTGTTATGGCTTTAACAATGACAATAGCTTCCAAACCCCTAGTTATGTCAAGGCAGTGCCCCATCATAGACTATAAAAATAAAGAACAATTATATTAGTTGAGGGCCAAGGAATAAATCAAATATAACCTTTTGTAAGATAGAAGAAAATAGACCGCTTTCATCAACATAATAAATAGTGGGATAATACCTTGGTGGCATTAATTTTGATGTCAAAAGTGTCCTTGAGAACCTTCTTAATAGCATTAATCTCTATAAAGGCACTAACAAGAGTGGAAGTTGTATGTGCATTTATGTAGTTTACATAATAGCATAAATACATGTTAATATTCTTGGAAAATGATAGAATTTCACAGTTAGTTCTAAATTTGACTTAAATGAACATACTTTTCTTAGTTGGAAAAAGTATATATTTCATGAAACTAATATCTACAAAGTTAAGAATAGACTTTATATCATTGACAACTTTCTTATGGATAGTGAGAAACATTCTTCTATTTCATTATCATACATCTATATGAACCACACTTTATATCCAAGTAAATACACATCTTACCCCACACCCAATATTACTTACTCGACATGGGGAAAGTCAATATAATATGAGAGGCATAATAGGTGGAGATAGTGCAATAAGGTATACTCTTAGCTTTAGTCTCATAAGTTGCTATTTAATGTAAAATTAAAATTGAGGATAATATTAAGATGTAGAAAAGGAAGAGAGATAAATTTAAATCAGTAAATGAACAATCTGACCGCTATTTTGATTTATTAAGAAATACATTGTAGAAATTTTTATCTCGAGATTGATAAGATCTAACAATTGGGGGTACGTGACACTTCAATATTAATGCCATTTAGTTTATAAGGACATATGGGTCTTTTTGAGTCCACATGTTGGTAAGAACTTTGAGTTCCAAGAGTACAACTTTGAGAATATTCTAGAATTATCTTTCTGCAGCTTATGCCATTTTTTGGAATTTCTAGTAATCATTGTTATCTTCTTTTGCCACATAAGAGCTTCTGGGTGGGTTTGTATGAAGGGCATGGGAGATGGTGGAGTGATGTAACGGTGAAAGTGTCGATACTACTAGTTCTACCTCCTCAACCTTTAGCAGTTGCAGTAGGGGGAGGCAAGATGCGTTGATCCCCTAGGTGGGATGGGGAGTGAGGGTGTTCAAGTTGTCGCAAAGTAAGCGAAATCAGGTCTTTCTTTGAGGGGTGGATACACTTGGGTGGATCCGCATGTTAAAGGTTATTTTTTAAAATACTGCTAGTTCTTTATCTTGATGTCTTTTGTTGCGAGTCAATGCATGGTTCACAAAAACGGGATGATGATGTTATTTCGCTTGGACAGTGTTGTGCAATTGACAATGTTTCTCATGGCCTATGCATGCCCCGTAGGGGATTTATATGTTCGATTTCCTTTGGACGAGTTTACAATGGATGTATTACGTGTTTTGAATGTGGCACCTAACCAACTTTACCCTAATAATCGAGTTGCCCTCCAAGCCTTTAGGTTAGTGTGTGAAGTTTTGCTTCCTAAAGCCAATCCCTCATATTTTCCTCCATCATTTTAGTACGTGTCTTAGTGACTGAGTGGGTTGGTTGTTATGCATAGGTCAACCTTCCAATATGTTATTTTCTACGTATACTTCGTCCCTTAAAAATTTCAAAATGGGTTATTTCAAGGTACAAGTGTAGGAGGGTGAACGTAAATACTTTTATGATGGGAAGACCAAGTTTTCATTTTACTGGACTTCAAATCTGATTCACTATCGCCACTAGCCAAGGACCGACATGTGTCCATTGGATATTCGAACTCTCGATATCTTAAACAAACTCCCCTACCGACTCCTCACCCAAAAGTTTCTCAAGACATATTTGTCTCTACAATGTTGGAGTGACATTTTTGGTATAATTTTTCCCTTTATTTGCTATGTTTTATATTGTTGTTAACTGGTTGAATTATTGAGTTTAATGTAGATATCATGGACGTCACTTCCTTTACAAGCAAAGGTTTATTTCATCAATTGTCGAAGAATACACCCTCTACCGACTAAGAGAAAGGTGATGTTGTAAGTTCCAATAAGAGCAAAGTGATTGCCAAGGATGTTCCTCTGGTGGCTACTCTCCCACCTCTAGTGTATACAATGCGAAAACATAAGAGGCGGGAAGGAAAGCACCATTCAACTCAGGAGCGTTCGCGAAAAAGGGTCCAAGCATTAGGAAAAGATGTTGACTACAACATGTTCTTAGGTCAGGATTTACAGGTGTCAACCAAAGTGAATATTGTCCTAACATCCCTAGAGTAGAATACATATGCTTCAACCACGCCAACTATGATGACTTGGTGGAGTCAGGTGGCCCAAAATTGGCGAAGCTGAAGCAAGGGCTAGCATATTCAAGTGACGCTTTGAATACGTCTCTAGAGTCGAATACGGTACTTAACGACAAAGTACAAAGTTTAGAAGACAAGGTTAAAGAGTTGGAAGAGAAGTTGAAAACCACCTCTGTAGAATGAGTCGATTGACGCACCAAGTTTATCATCGAAAAGTGTGAGGTGACTCTTACGGACCATATGAACTCTTTTGAGCAGATTCTATTCGAGATGACTCTAAGAGGTGAAAAAAGGAAAAGTTGTTGAGAGGGGCATGAAGGAACTGAAACAATAGGTCATGGGTGAACATTGAGAGGTATAACAAGGTACTTCGACAAGTCAATTTGTTATTTGGGACGCCCCTTATAAATGACCAACTAAACATCAAAATATGGATGTTTACCAAGGTCACCTTGTCTTGTGCCTTTGGATGACATTCCTGATGATAAACTCAACCAAGATTTTGTCACCACAAACCCTGTTGCTGATAACATTCCACTAGATGATTAAGTTTGTTTTTTATTGATCTGTAAATGATTGTTTTGTACTGCGACAATTTGTAGTGTGATCAAATCAGTTTTCATGTATTTTATTTGTTATTAATGAAATGTCTTTTCTTTCTTATTGCAAATTTGTTTATCATTCGTATTTGAGAGAGATCATTCATGGTTGAATGAAACCTCCTTGATCGAGGTTCATGTGTCAGTAGGTTGCCATTCAGATGATGACTGCCCTTGTCGAGGCTTTTTTGAAAAGGATCACTCTAGATTTGAGTGAAGCGTCCTAGGCAGAAAAGAGTTATGGTGAAAAGAACCATTTCATATTAAATGCCTCATTAAAGTCTCCCCTAGCAAAACCCTTATAAGAAAATATCTAAAGGTAGGAAAAAGAGTGCAAGTGCACATCATAATATTAAAATTGTGCAAATTTCACTGTATTAAAACTTTAAAACTTTGTCTTAGGTCGTCATATAGGTGTTCTAGTCGATAAACACCATTATATGAAGATTGACTTACTTAGAGTTGTCCTTCCCAGTTGGATGAAAACTTCCCTTCTGATGAGTTTTTGCACATGCTCATTTTTACTAGTAGTATTAGGTCACATTCTTTAAATGTCCTCCACTTTACTTTTGTCATTTGTCTTTTCACCACAATTACCTTTGCGATCATTTCTTGGATTTGTTTTTTGTTTCTCACCTTTTCAACCAAGTCAGGGTTATCTTCATGCATTCTTCATTTTTTGCTACGTTCACCATTTCCCTTCTCGAGGTTGGCGCACCAACTTATAGTGGGATAATAGCGTAAGTGCCATACACCAAATTGTATGGTGTTTCTTTAGTTGAAGATTGATGTGTACACCTATATGCCCATAATGTTTCAAGCAACTCCTCAACTTAGTTACCCTTTGCTACTCCTAATCTCTTTTTTATTTCTGCCAAAATGATTTTGTTGGTTGACTCAATTATGCATTTCCCCATAAAGGCATAGGGTAAATTGCCATGACATGTACACTAATAGCATCTTTTCACATATTAGGAGTAGTCTTTTTGGAAGGTCAGCCAAAAATAAATTGTGCTTAGTTGATATGAACCTCATTTACACAAGGGCTGACTTAGGATCTTTAGGGTTAGAACCTTGTAGAAAATTTAGGAAATTAGTGAGAAGTGGATTAGAAAGTGGTGAAAGTTTTAGGATTAAGAAGTATTTTTGAAATGTCAATATCTCAAGCTATAAAACTCCGATTAAGGTGATTTAAAAACAAGGTAAAAATTCTCATTTTGAATTTCAATTTAGGCTTAAAAAAAATACTCAATTTGGACGAATAGAACAAAAGTTATTACCATGAAATAAATCTGGGCAAAATTTTCTAGGTTCTGGTGAAAAAAGAACAAGAGGTGAATGTGAAAGGTCGAAGCCCAAGGGAGACAACTCACAAAGGATGTGAAAGTCCTTTGATACAACCAAGGGTTCTTGAATCACTCAAGAATTTAGGAGAATCACTCTCACCAAGATAAAATAGCTAAATTATAATATTTTTGAATAAAACTCAATTTGTTATTTTTAATAAAAATGTTTCAACTTATATAAAAAGTTTTTGTCATCGGAGTTACAAAGACTCAAAAAAGGAAAATAAATCCTAATAATAATCCATTAATCTAGGAATTGAGAACTACTTAATGGAGACAAATAAATGTTAATAATGATCCATTAACCTAGGAATTGAAAACTACTTAATGACTGATTATAACTGAAATTGTGTCAACCAAAAGTCAATCAGTTATGCCCTCTTGGTCTCCCAAAGGCTGACACCTAAGTTTCTAATTGGGCCCTTATTATAACTTGAAACAAAACCAAACTAAAGACCATTAATTGATTAACCCAAATTTGATTAGCCAATTTTACAAAGGATTGGATCATTATTTAAACAAACTTAAAGACTAAAACAAAGTAACGCATTAGTCCTCCTCCATTTAGGTCATGATGTAATTCACAACTTTGATCTTTTCTCCTTGAAATGTGGACTTGTACTCAAATAATATGGACAATATTTGTTAAAGAGCTTCTTTTGCTTCCCTTGCTCTAGCCCTTGTCATAGATGCTCCAAGTCCTTCAAGTGGATCATTGTCCTTGCTCATGGTCATGTCTTCATCATTAATACCCTTGCTACCATACTCCTTCCTCTTGAATGTAACCCACAAACACTGTTATGGAGTCCAGTCATAACGTATTTGGCTTGAGTGGGAGAAATGCACTTCTACATGGGTGTGGTGAAGCCTCGCCTACATAACTCCGTGTCGAGGAGAACATAGCACGTAAACATCCTTTGATCCTTTGTGCCTTGGCATTACTCTTTGACAATGCATATTCTCGTAGGTACGTTATTATTGGTGTTATGTAGGTTAATTCATCCAAGACTACAAAGAAGTTTACCTTGTCCACTGATGAGCTCGTTAACACATGTTAGATGACTATTTTATGCGCCCCCTTCTCCTCGGATAAGCTTGACCTTGTTGTCTTGGAATTCGGGTAAGAGATTGAGGACATAGTGGTAGTATTTTAATAGTAAAGTCTTTGACCGAGAAGTCCTAGAAAAGGTGTTTGACCTTGAGTTAGGAGTCTGTTTGACATTATACCCATCACGCTCCCATATCTTTTTATGAGTATGCTTCATACTCTGCTTGGTTGTTGGATGTTTTGAAAATGAATTGTAGGGACTGCTCAATCAACAAGTCTTCTGGGGTCCTTCTAGGACTATTCCAAGTCCTCCTCCCTTTTGTTTAAAAGAACAATCAGTGTATAATATCCACCTTGGGTCTTCTACTTGTACTTTTGGCCTAAGCTTGTTGACGAAGTCACCAAACACTATGCTTTAATCGGTTCTCTAGGTTTGTATTTTATGTTGAATTTGGACAGTTCGATGGACCATGCAATCATTCTTCCAGAGAGCTCCGGTTTCTTTAGCATCGTAGCCACAGGGTAGTCAAATCATACTACGATGTGATGACTTTGGAAGTATTTTCATATCCTTCTCCCGACCATTATCATAGCCAACGCAACTTTTTCAATCATCTTATATCACATTTTTTAACCCTGTAATATTCGACTAATATAATAAACCAATATTTGTTCACCTTATTCTTTTCAGACCAAAACAATGTTATAGTGGTT